TTTATCTGTCCGCTGGGCCTACAGCAACCATGACTGTATGCAAAGGAAAACTGCAGCTCTTCTAAAACTTCTCCACATCCCTTTAAAATTAAAGACTAGTGGACATCCCAGGCTCTAAACCCTTTATATGTCTCACTGTTATATGCCAAATAACAGCTTTTGCTGGTAGTAGCTTTAATGCATTGCCCTGCATTAAAATCAGTTTAACTCTGTACCAGCCTATAACACAGTTATTTCACCTGTCATTGCTGAATCACATGGTCTTTGTTCACTACATTACTGCTGGTCTTTTCCTCTGTGCAGGCCTTTTAAGGAATTGGTTGTTCAGCTTTTCCAGTAAGTTCCCTGTTTTAATATTATGTTTATCAAATAGGTCTGAAGAATGACACAGATATCCTCATCTAATTGTTGCCAAGAAGAAAAAAAGAGCACATTATTCAATATGTCAAAGTGTTCCTTTAAATAGCTGGCTAAGCACTATGTGCTGATAAGGAATCATGAGAACATTTAAATGCAGTTACGCCTACAAACTGTACAATAACCCGAGCATTAAGGCAGATAAACAAGCCAAAATTCCATGCAAACAGTTTGGAGTGGCAACCAGTCGCTGCCAAGGTGGGTCATGCGTAACTGAGAATCTATGATAACCTGCAACAGCATTGCGTGTCACCTCCTTCCCTGACATTACGTCTACGGCTGGATTCCACCCAACTCACTCATAGATAAGACGTCTGATGAAAACAAAACAAAAACGGAGATCAGATCCCCCCCTTTAGTCTGTCAGCTTTGTGAGAACAGCCATCGATAAGGCCCGTCCATCAAGCCATAAAAAGCAACAACATCTCTGTCTTGTCTGTCTGCAGGAGCCTTATTTCTTCTTCCCGAATGTTTCATCCAGTACAGAGCATTCACACGCAAATAGTAACACATGGGAGCATAGAAAGAGAAAACATACATTTTTGCTTATATATTTTTATTCACTATCTACTACATACGCTTCAGGATGCTCAAGTTGGTATACAGGTTTTCGTGTCAAAACCTCTCAAAAATCATAACACAAACATCACAGTTTGAGCAACTCTGTCAGCATGAAAGAGGATCGCGTGAAATTAAATCTGGGTGCTTCGAATGTTATCCAGGAGATCTAACTCAAATACCCCCATCCCCTTCATGCAGCAACAAAGGGATGCTCTGATGATAATCTGTATTCTGTGTACCGCCAGCGAAAGGGAGGGGGAAGCTACAAGTGAGTTGAAAGCAGCAGGAGCATCTTTAGCAGCTGTTAGACAATGTTTGGGTGGGAGAGTGACTTTTGTTTGAAGTGGCAGATAAGGAACTGCAGACCAGAAAGAAAGAGGATGAGAGTCCATCACTACCCGTGAAGTAAATAGCGTGCAAAGCAGAGGGAAAACAGGAATAACATGTTCATCATAATACACGGAGGTTGAAATCAGACATTGATTGCAACAGGGCTAAAATCATAATCTGATTGCAGTGAGAAATGCTGGGACAGATCATTAAGGGATGAAGATAACTACACTTTGTTTACTACTGTGATTGCTCTTACTGGTGAAGTTAGTGCAGTTATATGTAATATCTGTTTTAAATGTCATTTATTGGCCTCTGGCTGGTGGTTGTATGCGAGCACCGGGAGGTTGTAAGCCCTAATTCTAAATGTCAGTCTAAATAATGTTATGTTACGATATGCTGGGTAGCGAAAGAATCACATTTAGTCTTCTATTTCAGACTATACATAGCACCCTGTTATAAAAAGTGGAGCATATTACTTTTTTTAATACCCTTGCAACAAATACCTAATGTATTAGCTTTGCAAGCTAAGTTTCTTTGTCGATCAGCTACTTACATTGGATCATCTGCCTCACCCTATCCTTAACATCCTCCTAACCTTCTCGGTGGTCTTCCTCTTTTCCTTCTGTCTGGCAACTCTACATTCAATATCCTTTTTCCAGTATATCAACTATCCCACCTCTGCCCACGTCTGAACCCTCTCACCACTGCTAACTTTGTCTCCATATCACTCAACCTGAGCTGTCTCTCTGATGTACTAATTTCTAACCCTGTCCCTCCTGGTCAGTTCCAGTGAAAGTATTACCATCTTCAAGTCTGCCGCCTCCAGCTCCATGAGCTGCCTTTTCCAAATATAACACAAAATAATCTCTTTACCAGATTTTGTTCCTCTTTGGTTGCCTCTTGCCTGGTTGACAGTGAAAAGGAAAATAATCCAGTCCAGTGGTTCTGTCAGTGACTATGTTAAGGTCAGACTGCAAAAAGGACAGCCTTTAAAACATGAAAATATTTGCAGCATATTGTTGATGATAATGGTTCTTTCTCCAGTGAAGAGTTGTACTTCAGATTTGAAGAAGCACCTGCACCTGATCCAGGTGAAGCCCACTGAGAGGAGAATGATGAGGGAAACTAGCAAGCTCTTTGCTGGTCATGTGGTATCTACTTGACTTTTACATGGAATGAGTACATTTCAAGACATTCAGAGGTAGGTGAACACTAAACTACAAACCCTCTAAAACCAACAATTTTAAAGTTTCTGCTCTCAGAATGTGACTTTCTGATGGTTTTACTAAAAACAATCATAACCACTGATGGATATAGATACTTAAATACAGGCACTACAGTCAAAGGAATATATTTGGAAATATTGGCTTTCTTGCATAGAGATAGATAGAAAGACTGAAACCAATTTCATGTGTGTAAGGTAAAAGTAAACACAGTGAATTAAATATATCATATATTACAGCCAGCAGCCATTTAGCTTACCATAATGATTGGAACCAGGGGAAATAGCTAGTCTGGGCCTGACAAGAATAATAAAAGTAGTTACAGAGTAGAAAATGTGTCCACAAAACCACAGCTGAAGGGTTAAAAAAACACAGTCCAAGTAAAAATGTCTCCTGAAGCAATGTTAACAACAGTTTTTGGCTACACTGTGTCACATGCAAGAGCATCCTGCTTGCAGCTGCAACCAGACTCGTCTACACAGAGCTGCAGCTAGAAAGAGGACAGCACACTGTGTCTTGTTTGATGTGTGCAAAACCCGTCAATTTTACCTTTTCATTTTTACAAAGACTAAACAAATGTTTCTAATGTTTATTCATCAGCACAATGACATTGACATTATTGTTACTGCAATAGGCAGGTAAGTTCTTCATTCTTTGCTAATAGTAGCCAAAGACTGGCAGTGAGACTGAGGTTTTATTTCATAGACGTATGTGGGCTGGCAATATAAATTATTTAAAAAGTCTGCTCAGTATATGAAAACTTTTTACATATAATGTTGATGCACTGTGTTGATGCACTGTGACGCTGTAAGTTTTCACGATATGTTCTCGAGAGTCCATTAAAGGGAAGCTCTTGCCAAAGACAAGAGAGGGCTCAGTGATAAAACATAAAAAGTCTTCTTTGTCAGTGTTTTAAAAAGAGGGGAAGATCTCAGAGGGAAGAAAGAGCTTATTTGAAGAATGAATGCAGGGTCGTGGGAAATGTCTGTCATCACTGAACAGATACTTCAGAACTTGAAACATGACATGTTACACTGAGCAGACGAGGCTAAAGAAATGTTCAAGGGCTCTGAGACTTGAGCATTGTTATTCTATGAAATGTTCCCTGTTACCGATGAAAAATGTTCCGACTTTAGTTTTTAAAATTGTGACTACATGTTTCTTTGATTTATGGGATCCATATTTTCTTTTTAGCACAAGTGCATAGCTTTCATTTGCTTTGTTAGCAGTTTTCCTATAGCAGTTTTTCCTATAGAACGTGTAATGTGTATATATGTGTATACACACAACACCACACACATATATTATATTATATATATATATATATATATATAGTGAGTAGAATACAATTACTAATAGAACATGATAGTATATCGATAGAAATTGTTTTTGTATTTTATTAGTGTCTAAACAATAGCAAATTCTATTTTGTATTCAATTTTTCTCCACAATTTTCACTTCCCAATTGTCTTATAGATAAAATAATAAGGATAAAATGAGCGAATAATTGGAATGTTAGAATTAATGGGATTATTTAACAGTCCTGTTAGTTATTTGTACAAGACTTATAGGTTGTATAAGTTAGGGTATACAGTTTTTATTAGTGGATAGGAAGTTATTATTTTGGTTTATTATTTAGTAGGCGAAGATGCAGAACAGCATTACATTCTAAAGCTTACAATAAAGTGTGTGTGACTATGCTAAAAGAAGGAAATTTCACGGCCGATCGATTAAGGTTCGGTTCGATACTAATTTGGCTGAATATCCTGTCCCGTTCCTTATATTTCCAATATAAACTGTGAGATAGGATTATTGTTCACATTCCAGCGGTTTCCAAGTAACAAAACACACATTTGTGATCTCCTAGCATGAGTTTGTGATCATTTATAGCGTCTTTCTCTTTCATCCTGCTCCATTTATTCTTAAAGTTTCACTCATCCTCACCATAATGTCTTATAACCTTTTACTCAAAAGCTTTATCCCACGTTTCTCTCTCATAGTCATTCTCTGTCACCATAAATCGCTTGCACATGGCAAGCAATTGAGAGTGTAATCCTGGGGAATGTGTTTATCGCGAATCGGACGAACAGTTAAAATAAAGATATGTATTTTAGTTTCCTTTCTGGGTTGGCCCCTCACTTCAGATACACAAGAGTGGGAGGAATAACGTCACTCGGCAGACAGTGCCCTTTTGGATAAAGATTAAGAGAGTTTCTATCCAAATTTCAGGTCACAGGAGAAACTTGGCACTTCTTCTATGGGAGCTCTTCCTTTCCTCCATTTGTCACAGGGCACACTGTATGTTCCTATACTTCTGCGAGCAATGGTGTCTGGCTCGGGTTAAGTTGTGTTTCACTTTCATGCGTTCACACGCCTTCACTAGCATAGAACCCCTCCACTCACTATTCATGATCTATCACTTTCTCTTCCCTGGGGATATATCAACTCTTTCTTCCTGCTATCTTCCCACCACTTCCTCTGCTGTCTCTCCTCCTCCAAATTCAAAACACATGACAAGAGTTATACTAACTGCCAGGCATCAGCTCTTCCTCATACCCAGGGGTATAGAAGAAATAAAGCAAAAGAGAAAGGTCTGCAGAAATCAGCTAGTACTGTAAATGAACATCTGGGTGTTTTAATGCTAGCATGGTCTGCTTGGCTGCACAGATCTTTGACAGCCCTCCCATCTCAGTGACATGATATCCTTTTTAGATTGTATAGTGTATGAACATTTAGATCAAGTTGTGATGGCTTAAGCTGGTGCTGCTTCATGACTAGACCAAAATGGATATTCAAATCAGAATGGGCCACAGTGCCTGAGGGCATTCATGATTGGTTTACCTGAGCTGCACTCAGCTCTTGTGCATTTAATTACAGTTCTGTAAGCAACCAGTAAACCTCACATCATCTGAAAAACAGCTTCTGCCTTAATGGCTTTAAAATTTCATTAGCAGCTTTAGCTTTTATGTCACCACTAGTTGTCAATCTTTATGCAGAAAGTAGTCTATGGTGTGGGATGGTATCTATGATTGTACACATACCTTTGGGAATAACAACAAAGAGGCATTGCTTTGTAAGGGGTCACTGAGATCTTCTGCTTTCTTTTCCATCCTCATTCTGGCAGAAATACGATCTGACATCCAGTGCTGTGTGTTTCACTGTTCCTTTCATTGAGTTTTTCCTACCTTATTAGCGTTGCTATCAGAAGCTGTCTCAGCAAATAGGAAAAGACATTCACAGCACAGTGCCATAATGAAAAATAAATATAAGAATTCACACAGATTAAGTTTTAGTGCAATTTTACTTAATGTTCTAAACCAGTCTGTCATATCAGTCACTCCTCTGGCAAAACCTTAAACAGGTTTTGACATTTTTAGAATGAATATCATAGACAATTATTTTCATACATATATAACCTTTTACTGTAAGTTTCTCCCACGCAGACATAAAAGAAGCAGGACAAAAGGCACAACCCAATCTCATCAGATTCTCGGGTGTCACCACAATCTTGAATATTTACTGGATACTTTATACATGGTTGGTTTTTTTGTTTTTGAGAATTGAAAACAAGCCATATACATTTTCATTTGCTTTAAGCCTTTTTGCAGTTACGCAGTTTCTATGAATATGTAATGTTGATGATCTGAAAAGGGTTTGATTTTGATTTATTTACTTTATCTTAAATGGAAAGGGGTGTACCCCACCTCTAATTAAGTGTTAGGACAGGCTCTATCACCTCATCTTAGATGTATAAGCACTTTGAAAAATTTATGAATAAATGGATGAATTATCTAATATTGGCATTTTTCAGGTAATACAAAGCATATGGCAATGCAGATTCTTTACTTGTTCCTCATGAGTTAGCGCTTAGTTTCTACATGTAGTGAGAAATTAAAATGTCACAGATGGCTGCTCAAGTGAGAAATTTGGGATATAACAGCTACAGCTCAGATCAGACTTTAAAGGAGAAGTTCAACATTTTCAATACATGCTATCTTTGTTTTTCTCCAAAGCCATCTATCCATATTAAATTCAGCTAATTAATGTTGAAATGAATCAGAAACAAATGTATAATAATAAAAGAAATGCTGATTGCTCTTTATCTGCTTCTCATTTGCAACACTGTAGTCAACCATAAAACTGACAGTAAAACCAGTGCATCTCAAAAAGTTGTGCATAGATGAACATACCTTTCAGAAGTTTTTGTATTGTTAATGCTTTTTTTATTGATCTGTAGAAATAACTAATACATTATCAGATACTGTATTTTCATGAACTATGAGCCATTATCATCAAAATTAAAACAAAAAGGCTTCGTGTTGAATGATTACATGAAAATGTAACTTTCTGAAATAAATTATGAAAAAAAAAACTTTTTGATGATATTCTAATTTTAAGAGATACACTAGTAAGATTTGCCATTTGGTTTTTTTCCTCTTCAAATATGTACGACACTCTGAGGCTATGAAAAAAATGGGGACAGTTACTGCAGTCACAGATGGGCTCCTTCTGACTCTACTGACACCTCACTGAAAGGGTTCAGTTCAGTGCACCTATCCCTCACATCAACACAAGATACAACAGCGTACTAATATGGAACTATGCAATTTGAGACATGTTCACTATGTTAAATTTAAAGGCCACACAACCTGTGATTCTGGAAAATGATATAATAAGCAAGTTTGATAGAAAGCAGCAAAGATGGCTCAAAGACTGTAATATCCTGTGTGCTACAGTGTGGTGATTTTTCATTTTCTTTGGTCAAGAAGATGACAGTATAGTTTGTGCAAATAAATACTAAGCTGCAGTGGAAAGTGCCGTTGCCTCCTGATGATCTGGTAAGACTCAGAAAATAAGCCAGAATAGTGTAGAATCTGCTTTGTGACACGAATGAACAAAAAATGTGCGAAGACATGTTCTAAAAAAAGTTTCAGACGTTTGTACATTTCACAGTGACAAATGAAGAAATGTTTTCTGTAACAATAAATCAGTTTCATATTGTGATAAATGTTCATTGTTGCAAGCGCTGATGAGGCAAATGAGGATTGCCTTTTTGAGCATGCATAGCTAATTACAACAAGCTGTATTTACAGGATCGGTGGAGCAGTACCGATAGTATTCTCATACTTTGCGGAGGTGTTGGCTCGCGAGAAGAGAGGAGAGCATCTGAGCTGGCTGTGCATGTTCTGGATGATTGGAGGAATTTATGCCTCAGCCATGGCCTGGGCTATCATCCCACACTATGGTGAGTGACAAGATGTACCACTTCTAAAAAAGGTTGCATTAACATGACAGCAAAGCAGCACTAAAGGGAAATCATTAAAGTGATCGAAGAAATTTGCCATAAAAATGTTAAAGTTTATTATTACATTTTCCCACCTCATAATATTGCTCCTTTATTTTATATTTTTGCTTTTTTTTTTTTAATATTATCAAGTTGGTAGAGTTTACAATGAACAGATAACCCAACCAGATTTAGGAAGTAATTCCAATTCAATGCAATTCAATTCAGTTATCTCAAGGTCTTTTATATTGTAAGGTAGAGACTGTGTCAATAGTACAGAGAAAATCCCAACAATCAGACGACCCTCTGACCACTTAACGAAGGTTGGATGGAAAAACTCCCTTTTAACAGGAGGCGGTCATCGTGTGACTGGTTCTGGGAAGAGGGAAGGAGACAGGACAGAAGTTAGGTGAGATGATCGCAGTGAAGAAAGGCCAGATGTTTTAACATTGAGTCCAATGTGGACATACCCTGAACTGGGATTTGTTTCAATGGCCAGCAGAGGGCAAATGCTCTGGTTGCCAAAATGAAACGATTGTACAGACGTAGAAAGAAAACAGCCCTTGTCTTCCTTAATTCCTTCCTTAGACACTATCTCTACTTTTAAGATTAGGCTTAAAACTTTCCTTTTTGCTAAAGCATATAGTTTTGGCTGGATCAGGTGACCCTGAATCCTCCCTTAGTTATGCTTTTATGCTTTAATCCCATGATGCACTGAGTATTTCTTCTTCAGTCACCTTTCTCACTCGCTATGTGTTAATAGACCTCTCTCCACTGAATCATACTTGTTATTAATGTCTGGCTCTCTTCCACAGCATGTCTTTTATCCTGTCTTCCTTCTCTCTCCCCAGCCAGTTGCAGAAGATGGCCGCCCCTCCCTGAGCCTGGTTCTGCCGGAGGTTTCTTCCTGTTAAAGTTTTTCCTTCCCGCTGTTACCAAAGTGCTTGCTCATAGGGTGTCATATGATTGTTGGGTTTTTTTTTTCTTTATGTATTATTGTTTGGTCTAGGTTGCAATATAAAGTGCTTTGAGACGATGTTGTTGTGATTTGCCATGGTATAAATAAAATTGAATTGAACTGAATTGTTAAAACAGAACTGAACAGAAATGAAGTTGATGACGAATACCTGGACAATAACATCGTAGTTACTGGCAGGTTTTAGGTATGTTAACAGATGGTTTCATTTAACCACCTGCAAAATATGTGTTTTAAGTAATTGCCTGCTGGTGAAAAATATGAAATATTATGCAAAATATTACAAAGCATCTACATAGTTAACCTTACTGGCTATTTTCCAGTTTCAAGGCCCGTTAGAGGGTAGCTTATCTTTTGTTTGTCTGTGAAGGTTCTCAGTCATCCAGGTCATCGTAGTCTAAGGAGCTTGGAAAGAAAAGCGTCTGGACTTCTTTAAGTTGCTTGAAGATGTTTCACCTCTCATCCGAGAAGCTTCTTCAGTTCTAAGGGTCAAATGGTGGAGAGTCCCAGATTTAAACCCAGTGGGAGTTTCCCCCCAAAGAGGGACAAAGGACCCCCTGATGATCCTCTACCTAATCACATGAGCCAAGGTGTGAAAATGGGTGTGGGTCACAATCAGCCAGGGTTTCGGGTGAGCTCATTGTGAAACCTGGCCCACCCTATAGGCTTTGAGTGTGATGTCACAGGGGTGGGCGTGGAAAGGATTTTGGCCTGATGCACCATTTTCCGGGTCCAAACAAAGCGCAAGCGAAAAAGGAGCGAAGGCACACACAACAGGTTCGTCCTTGCTGTGTGGTCGGCTGCAATGTTCGATCGCATGACCGGCACGGGAATGAGCTTAAAAAGTGTTTGTCTTTTTATTCTTTCCCAACCTGAAAGCAACATGAGGGAGCTTATATGGCGGACCTTAAAAAATGAAGGCGTCTAGCCTGGATAGAGCCGTGAGATGAGCTGATATCCAGTTTGCTTCCATCTCCAGATATCTGTTGGTGTTCTCCAGACATTTTCACTCCGGTTCTATATATGTTCATATCACTCTTTATAGCTTAATAATATTATTGTTGGGGCTCTCGGAGGTTTTAGAAATTGCGAACAAACATAGAATTGAGTGACTGTGCAGACATACGTGCTACGTAACAATTTGCTAATTCTTTCGCACAACTGTAGGGAAGCCTGCCTATGAAATGGATCAAACAAATCCAGACTGGGTACCAACGTTACACATGGGGCACTCAGAAATGCGAACGTGATGGTTAAGGTTAACAAGATACGTGAAGATATCGGGGTAGGACAGTGGCGTAAGTCGTCTGGGTCTTTACTCCACTGCCGTATTTCATATGGGTCCAGATTTGCGATGCACTCTATTTTTTTTCAAGTACCGCTGCTTCGCCTCTGGACGCAATCGGTCTCTATACCGTCCGTTTTCTTTTGAGCTGCTTTTAAGCATGTTTCTTGTCGTCGTCGTTCCAACACAGTGTGTTTGTTTTGATTGTGTGAGCCGGAAATGGCACCGCGCTCCCACAATCAGCAGTTCGGGTGACGTCATAAACTGCCCACCTTATCATCTGATTCCTGAGGTCAGATGGCCCAGGATGTGAGTGGGCGTTAAGGCGTCTGGGAAGGGATCTCAAAACTGGATTATAGATGGCAGAGAGTTGGTGTCGTAAACCCCCGCCTCTGTTCAAAGATGGTGCTCACAGTGGACATAGATGGCTTCTTTCACTCCTCTTTCAAACCATCTGTCCTCTCTGTCCAAAATGTGAACATTGGCATCCTCGAAAGAGTGCCTTTATCCTTAAGATGCAGATGGACTGCTGAGTCTTGTCCTGTGGAGGTGGCTCTTCTGTGTTGTGCCATGCGCTTGTGAAGTGGCTGTTTGGTCTCTCCAATGTAGAGGTCTGGGCATTCCTCGCTGCACTGTACAGCATACACCACATTGTTAAGTTGTGTTTTGGCGTTTTGTCTTTCGGGTGAACCAGTTTTTGTCTGAGCTGTGTTGCTGGGTCTGAAATACACTGGGATGTCGTGCTTGGAGAAAACTCTCCTGAGTTTTTCTGATACACCGGCTACATAGGGGATGACAATGTTGTTGCGTCTGTCTTTCTTATCCTCCCTCGCTGGTGTCTGATCTTCTTTTCTGTGCCTCTTTGCTGACTTTAAGAACGCCCAATTAGGATAACCGCATGTTTTGAGTGCTTCCTTTACATGTGTGTGTTCCTTCTTTTTTCCTTCAGGCTTAGAGGGAACATGTTCTGCCCGGTGGTGTAGGGTCCTAATTACTCCAAGTTTGTGTTCCAGAGGGTGATGGGAGTCAAGGAGGTACTGGTCCGTGTGTGTGGGCTTCCGGTAAACTTCGATGTTGAGGTTGCCGTTCTCTTCAATGTGCACAGCGCAGTCCAGGAAAGGCAGACAGTTGTCCTTTGTGTCTTCCCTGGTGAACTTACAAGTCGGATAGAGGATCATCAGGGGGTCCTTTGTCCTCTCTGTGGGGGGAATACTCCCACTAGGTTTATATCTGGGACTCTCCACCATTTGACCTTTAGAACTGAAGAAGCTTCTCGGATGAGAGGTGAAACATCTTCAAGCAACTTAAAGAAGTCCAGACGCTTTTCTTTCCAAGCTCCTTAGACTACGATGACCTGGATGACTGAGAACCTTCACAGACAAACAAAAGATAAGCTACCCTCTAACGGGCCTTGAAACTGGAAAATAGCCAGTAAGGTTAACTATGTAGATGCTTTGTAATATTTTGCATAATATTTCATATTTTTCACCAGCAGGCAATTACTTAAAACACATATTTTGCAGGTGGTTAAATGAAACCATCTGTTAACATACCTAAAACCTGCCAGTAACTACGATGTTATTGTCCAGGTATTCGTCATCAACTTCATTTCTGTTCAGTTCTGTTTTAACAATTCAGTTCAATTCAATTTTATTTATACCATGGCAAATCACAACAACATCGTCTCAAAGCACTTTATATTGCAACCTAGACCAAACAATAATACATAAAGAAAAAAAAAACCCAACAATCATATGACCCCTATGAGCAAGCACTTTGGTCGAACAGTGGGAAGGAAAAACTCCCTTTAACAGGAAGAAACCTCCGGCAGAACCAGGCTCAGGGAGGGGCGGCCATCTGCTGCAACCGGTTGGGGAGAGAGAAGGAAGACAGGATAAAAGACATGCTGTGGAAGAGAGCCAGACGATTAATAACAAGTATGATTCAGTGGAGAGAGGTCTATTAACACATAGCGAGTGAGAAAGGTGACTGAAGAAGAAATACTCAGTGCATCATGGGATTAAAGCATAAAAGCATAACTAAGGGAGGATTCAGGGTCACCTGATCCAGCCAAAACTATATGCTTTAGCAAAAAGGAAAGTTTTAAGCCTAATCTTAAAAGTAGAGATAGTGTCTTCTCCTGAATCCAAACTGGAAGCTGGATCCATAGAAGTGGAGCCTGAAAACTGAAGGTTCTGCCTCCCATTCTACTTTTAAATACTCTATGAACAACAAGTAAGCCTGCAGTGCGAGAGCCAAGTGCTCTAATGGGTGATATAGTACTATAAGGTCATTAAGATAAGATGGGGACTGATTATTCAGGGAAGCATGTATAAAGTAAACAGAATTGGTCCTAGCACTGAACCCTGTGGAACTCCATAATTAACCTTAGTGTGTGAAGAGGACTCTCCATTTACATGAACAAAATGGAGTCTATTAGATAGATATGATACAAACCACTGCAGCACAGTACCTGTAATACCTACAGCATGTTCTAATCGCGCTAATAGGATATTATGGTCAACAGTATCGAACGCTGTACTGAATTCTAGCAGGACAAGCACAGAGATGAGTCCACTGTGAGAGGGAATAAGAAGGTCATTTGTAACCTTCATTAAACATGTTTCTGTGCTGTGATGAGCTCTGAAATCTGACTGAAACTCTTCAAATAAGCCATTCTTTTGCAGATGATCTGTTTGT